TGTGTGTTTCCATTGCCTATATACACTAAGCCCTTGATTCATGATGATTCCTTAAAGGGTAGTGGCAGTCGTGAGGATACATCTCAATCCAACTCACAAGAAAATGATGATCTTGAGGCTACATCTTAATCCTTCACTCACTAAATTGCTTAAGATGTTAAGAGAAATCCACCTCGAGAAAGGAAGGCCCCTGCTAAGTTTGTAGACAATGCATGTGTTACTTTCTGTTGCTGTCAACTGTGGTTGGTCGTTATATCAAATGGATGTTAAAAATACTTTTCTTCATGGAGAGTTTCAGGAGGAAATATACATGTAAATTCCCCTAGGTTACTCTCTAGCAAAAGACGGCATAGTTGCACAAGGCTATCTATGGTTTGAAGTAATCACCAAGAGCTTGGTATGCCAAGCTTAGTTCAGGGTTGGAAAGGGAAGGTTTTCTTAGAATCAATGTTGATTCTTCCTTGTTTATGCGAATTGGAATCAGTGGGAAGTTGGTGGTTCTTATTTATGTAGATGACCTTATCATCACATGTGACAATGCCTCTGAAATTGAAGTCCTAAAAGCCTCCATACATCAAACCTTTGCCATTAAGGATCTTGGGAAGTTGAAGTATTTTCTTGGCATTGAGATGGCAACCTCACGACGAGGTTTGTTTTTAAACCAACTCAAATATGCCATGGATTTACTCGAGGAATATGAGTTCACTGATTGCAAGCCAGTTGCCACCCTAATTGACAGTAAACTCAAGCTTACCATAGATGGCGAAGCACTCAAGAATGTCACATATTATCAAAGATTGGTTGGTAAGCTAATCTATCTTACCATCACTTGTCCAGACATCACTTTTGATGTCAGCTTGGTTAGTCAATTCATGCATGCACCCACAGTTGAAAATCTCAATATTGTTGAAAGGATTCTTCGCTATCTCAAAAGATCCATCGATAGGGGTATTCTTATGCGTAACAATCATTTCACTAAGATTCATTCATACACTGATGTTGATTGGGCATGCAGTGCAATTGACAGACAATCATGGACATTGCTGCAAACCCAATTTTTCATGAAAAGACCAAGCATATTCAAGTTGATTGTCACTTCATCAGGGCTCAAGTTCAGTCACAACTCATTCAAACAATCTTCACTCGCAATTATGATTAATTGGCAGATGGATTCACTAAGGCTCTATCATCTACACATTTTCAGCGTCTTCTTGGTTCGTTCAACTATACTACTCGATCCAGCTTGAGGGGGAGTATTGAGAGTTACTAACTAACCCTAGACAAATTATGTAGATTATGTAATCCGGAAATCATGGCATTTTCTTTGTCAACTTTAGATGCCTAGTTGCAGCATGGCTGCTATTTTTACCTTGACAAAAAAGTGTACATTACTCCTTAATAGTGGTTGGTTTTCTCCAATTAAGGAGTATGGCCGGTCACTAGTATTTGGTGTGATTTCCTTCAATTAAGGAGTATGGCCGGTCTCTAGGGTTTAGTCTAAGAATAGTTGATTATAACTAGTCCTTCTTTGAAAACTTAAACCAAATTGCAATAGAACTACTTTGCTACTTCATGCATCGTTGATCGACACTAAAGCGTTCAGTCTTCTGGAGAGAGATAATTCTGTGCATATCGAGTCGTGGACTCAAGTAGTGTCTCGCGAGATAACAAACTTTGGGTGGCTGAAATCCACTGATAGAGAGTGTGCCTCTGGAATTTGGATATTAAGCTCCTCACATCATGATTGTGACAACTCATATATTGCTTTCGAACTTTTTGGCGATTGCATTCACAACGGAGCAGTAACCTGGAGCTGTAATCTTCCCACGACCAGAGAGTTCACAGTTTTTAATTCTCCCAAAATAAAGAGCTTTATAATGGTACAGGGCTTTATGAAGTCGTTCCCTATTTTAAGATTTTTCCCACAAGAATAGCTGAGGATTGTTTTCTATGCTGGCCAGTTGTCGATACTTGTTGATCGCGTATCACAAGCTTTCTTAAGAGGTTATGGGCAAGTCGGGACCAACTCCATGGTACTATTTTGGTATGGAGGTGTGACGAAATACAAGATGCCTCTTAAGAAGAGTGGTAGAAATAAAACTACAAAATCAAAAGGTGAATCTGATCCGTCTGGCATTATTGGTGCAGCTAGGCGGCGTACCTCTATAGAGCAAAAGTTCTGGATGAGTTGGGTATAACCGCCCTAGACTTAGAGGAGTTGCATTTGGCTGCCTTGTGTGTTGGCTTTGCAAATTTGGATTTCCCAAAGACGACGCCAATTTCATATGCTCCGAGTGTTTAAAGTTGCTAATAAAATGGCCTTGGGAGAACTCTTAAGTCTTGATGTTCCGGTATTGGCCAACATTTACTATGGTTTGAGTGAGATTTCCACTTCAACAAACCCTGGATTTGCAGCTGTTATCCGTTTTCATTATGTTTACGGCTGGTTAGGTAAATACTACAGCACCCATTTCTCGTCACCGACTTCCGACAAGCCTGCACCTCTGATGACTAAGTATTTGGGAGTGCTTTCAGCGAAGAGCTTTAGACGATTCACACGTATGTGCTTTGTTCAGGAATTGTTAGAGATTTCAGATGGATCGTTTAGCCAAAGTATTTTCGGGGCACCGAAAACTTACTAACGACTCGCATCTCATTTCAGACTCAGTCTACTTTACAAGCCTTTGTTCCCCGTATGTCTATTTAAGATCGACGAATCATCGCATCGTTCAATCTTATAAACCACCCCGGTTTAACAGACAGTTTGGTTATGGCCAACACATCCCTAGCAAGCTCAAAGATGAAAGCAGAGGTTATTGTTGTCCATGTACTTGCATTGGGAATCATGGGCCTGAACTGGGACTAGCTTTATGATAATCATACCAACTAAGGATGATGTCAAAACGAACTCAGTCACTCGTGACTATGTCATTTGGTGGTCGAAGGTGCAATGCTTTGATTTGCGAGATGATATGCCGAGAGAAGACCGTCCAATTGCTCCTGTGAGGCTAGCTCCGCTTGATCATGCTAGTGCGACTTGCTGAAAAAGTTGGTCTGGTTGCCCTAATTCCTCGGGTTAAGAGTTTGTCTTCATGCTCCGCCCAACCCATCGATGATTCTGAGGAAGAGGGGGACATAGCTTATTCATATAAGGATTGTGTTGTCTTGGGGAAGCTTCAAGAAGCTTTGCTGGCTCCAAACGGCCAATTGAGAATATCTATGAAGATGGTGATGTTAACTTCAGGCATCGAAAGAAATGCTTAGGACCTTTGCATTATGACAAACGTGATTCGTTTCCGCTTGGTGACTCGTTCTTTAGTGGTGTCATTTCATCTTTGCAACTAATTCACGTAGTACTCTTTTCCCTTTTTCCTTCTTTCCTTTCGACTTCCTTTTCTCTGATATATATCTTTGTTTAGGTTGTGCCTGTCGGTTTAGGAGGCGTTGCCGAATCCCATGTTTCTAGCTTTACCGAGCTTATGTTCCTTGGCAACCTGCAAGATTGGCGATGCACCTACAGAATGAGGGAATAGTTGGCGCGCAGATTGCGCCAGGCCCTATAACCAGCTTGAGATGTGCTTTCAGGAACTCAGTCTCCTTAATTACACTCTGCCAAATGTTGATGCGTGACATGAGTCACGTGTCATGTATACGACTTGTGAGATACATTGTGCATGCCATGTAACCCCTAGCATGTTGAAATTTGATTGTGTTGAGGAATATTTATTTCTCCTAAATTTAAATGTCTACACTTCCTCCCCATAAAGGAATGCACATATCTCACATCTTCCGAATAACATATGTTCACAAAATAAATTCTATAATCGGAACCATTGAATTGCTTAGTTCATCGAAGTTGAGGTTCTATCATAAAACCAATTGACAATATGTGGAGTAACCCAAGTTACTCATAAAACCATGCAAGGTCCCTCATCTCATCAATGTGTGATTCACTCTCAACATGCCCCTTCAAATATGACGAATTTTCAAGCCTAGCACGTGAACAACAGAAATCGGGTGACGTGGACACGTGTGGTCACTGGGCTTCACATATGGTACTCACACCATTGAATTTTTCATACATTTAGATGCATACGCAATCCGCTAATTGACTAGGTTTTTCTAAAGATCATATTCAAATGAGATTAAGAAATTGAACGATTTCGATTATAAAATTTATAAAAATACACCATTCGCAAGAGGTGGAATATGTGTATTTTCTCGTTGGGAAATGTAAATACTATCCTATAGGACAACAATAAAAATGAACATAATAATAAAAAAACAAACTTGTGACTTGATCATATTTGTGTACAGCTACTTTTAATGAAGATCTAGCTTGTGGGAAATTCTTTTACTTTTATTTTGTTGTTGTGCGAGTAATATACCAGTAAAAACGGAAAAGAGAATTTGAAATTGGTGCACTTTGAATGCCCACTGCATAAAAGAACTTTATCATACGAAAGGATTTTGTCGGGCCATATAAGATCTGATCGTTTAATTTTTGCCCGATGTAATTTCGTCAAGCAATTTTATTGGGGCAAAAGTTGTTGCTTAAATGTTGCCGACAAATAAAAAAATTTCTTTGGGCAAATTATGTTTGCCTGACGAAATTACCATAATTATTTTGTCGAGCTAAATGCATTGATCAACTTGACCCGACGACAACATTTGGTCGCCAAAACCCATCCATGAGCTAGAATAGCATCCTAAAAGACAAAAATCGTACAATTTTGCCCAATGAACTTTCGACTCTTTTGTCAGACAAGGTTATATCCAACCACGAATCATTGTATCCACCATTTATATTTGACTTAAACTTTTAGGAGGGTCCAGTTTTATAGCCGCTAACTTCATGGGTGGGCTGAACTTTGAAGCCAACTGTCAGAAAATGAAAATTTGGTCGTGTTTTCTACTATGCGGTCCATTAGTGCGGATCAACATAGACCGTTGGATATGACCTCAACAGCTGGAAACAAAATATTCCTCTGCCCAAAAAAACTCTCGCGCGAACTAATTCAAAAAAATTCAATCGAGTTCCAACCATAGCGTTCGAAACTCAATTGAACTTCTCCACGGCTTTTCGTTTCTGGCGGGGCTTTCTACACAGCACGTTCGAAATCGACGGCATCGACCCTCGTTCGAACTTCGTTCCAAATTTGTCGAATCAATTCTACACAAAGGGCCATCTTACTTGCTTCCTCAAATATTCAAAGTCATACTTCCTTCCTCCAAAGTGACTTCCAAATTTGGAACCCTAGAAGTAAATTTTGTTATTTCTATTAAATTTGTTAAATTAATTTAGTGCTCATGTTTAATTATGCATGGTCATTGATGAAATTTGCGGAATTTTGTGGAATTTGGGGGAACTTTGGGTTTGATGTAGGTTTATGAACTCTTGTTGACAAGTCGTGTATAGGGCTTATATTGTTGAATTTGGTTGTAGTGAAGTTATATTGTTGACTTAAGATTGAGTTATGTTGATGAAATCCTGTTTAATTTTATGAATTAACTTAAGTTTGCCAAATTCATGATGCTTTGTTCACGGGTGATGTATTGTTATGAAAACTGGTTGACATGTTATGTTATATTGTTGAATTTGGCTGCGTTGAAGTTATAGTGCTGACTTGGGGATGAGTTGCGTTGATGAAAGCTTGTATAATATTATCAATGAACTTGATGTTTATAAATTCATGAAGCTTTGTTTACCCTAAACCCTAAGAAGATTTAATGACTCGCGCCGAATTGGGAAGAGCTTTTAAATAATCCAAACACGAAGATGATGCCTTGAAGATTGGTATGGTTTACTTTGTGGATGGTGTCTTGGTAGGAGTGAGGAGGAGAACCTCTCGTTTGCTGGTTTTAGGAGAAGGAGAAGAAAACAGGAATGGGATGTGGACAAAGAGGATGAGGAGGAAGAAGAAGGGAGGGCAAACAAGAAGGGGCAGAGAACCAAACGGTACTGCAAAGACTTTACATATGCTTTTCAGGTACTATGTGTTGTGTTTGTAGTTAATATTGGTTATATATTATTGTGGTTGGGAAAAAATTTAGTATACATGTAGGTGTGGGCATATGAAGTATCTCTCCAATTTGAGAAGTCATTACGTTATTGTAAGATGATTGATCTGGAATCCAGCCCGCGACTTCTCTAGTGGAAAAAAACCATGAAGCATCCTAGTTTGAGCAGCTCAAGATGTACATCAGCGAAAGTCGAGATGTATGTTTTTTCCCTGTGAATGCCTATGATTGTGTATGAATGTGTGAAATTTTAAGTATGATTATGTGTTGAGAAACTATAGTCTGGTGACTGTTATGTTAGTTGATAACTTGTGGGCATTCAGCGCATTTTGCCACTGAAGAGGAGAGGAAGCAAGCCTATTGGACGTGGGGAGATGATGAGGATCTTCTTATGCCCGACAACCCAACCCTCGACACAAATAATGAAGGTGAATTGAAACTAGAGATCAAGCAGTTAAAGATTTCTTTGGCGTGAATGGCACATGAGAAATATTAGACAGGAAAATATGGAGAAAGATCGAAGAGTTAACCACAGTTGTGGAAGAATTAAGAAAGGACGCTAAGACAAAAGTGGTGGAGGAGTCCAATGAGAAAGAAGAAGGCAGTGAGAAAGAATATGAGGAAGAGGGTGGTGAGGAAGACAGTGAGAAAGAAGGTGGTGAGGAAGAAGGCAAGGAAGAAGGTGAGGAACCGAACAAGGGAGAAAGGGAGGAGAAAACAGAGGCCGATGCAAAGGAGAAAGATAGGGAAGTTCCTGATGGGGAAGAAAGTGAGAAATCGAGAGGGAATGATGGTGAGGACAGAGGGAAGGCCATTGAGTTGGAAGAAAAAGAAGAGGGTTTGAAGCTAGTACACGGGACTGGTGATTGGGACAGTCCTACAAATATTTGTGTAAAACTTGTTAAGTTACTAGAAGAAGCAGTTGCAGGCCGGTACAAGGACATTAATGGTTCCGATGATGAATATGACGTAGTGGTATCATTGTTGATGGGGAGCATTTAGGAAAGAAAATGAAGGTCTATTTGACAAGGGTGACAGCCAAAGCTAAGGCACTTGGAAAGAATAAAAAAACAGGAACGCAAAGTCGCCATATATCAAACGGGATGGTCTTTGACCTCACCAAATGCAGAAGGCCTGATGTCGGTCAGCCTTTGGAGGATGTGGTGCATATAGATGTCCCCAACAAAAATGTGGATCAACAATGCGTGGTTGATATGATGGACTTTTTTTTATTAGTTCAAGAATCAGAACGAGAACGAGAAGAAGTAAGTCACTCTTTAAATTTTTTTTCTTATTTTTGCATGAATTTTAAGTAAATGTCCATGAGTACATTGATGAGCATTATGTTTTTGTGACATTGTTAGTATGGTGGCCCCGTTAGCCAATAGAACGCTTGGGGACACTGAATTTTAGTGGCGCATCTGTTCGGGCAAAGATTTCTCTGGAGAAGGCTCCTCGGACCTTAGCACAGCTCTCCAAGGGATTGGCACTTTGGATGTGTAGTCGGGCTCTTGCTTGTTGATGTGCAACAAGAAGAGAACAAAGTTAGTTCTGAAAGGTGCCTTTGTGGGGCCTTAGATGTAGGCCTTGAGATTCACAATCAAAACTAACTAAGTGCTAGGCATGCCATTGCTATCTCAGTAGAGCAGATGTAGAACAAATGTGTTTTAAGTTGATTACTTGCGCCCCAAGTTACTCTAACCTCTTGTTATCAAAGGATTGTTATGGATGGGTTAAGTCCACATTAAGTTCTTTTTCTTGCCTTGTAAACAAGGACTTACAATTCATAGTCTTGTATGTTCAGATGAAAGGAGTCCATAGCCCCTTAAGTCATTTATCTGTTTTCAAACTACTTTTAATGAAGCATGTTGATCAAGTTAAACAAATCCTGAAGCGAATGGAACTTCCCAAAATAGCAAAACATATGGAAATGACTTGAATACATACTGAAAAGTACATTAAGCAATAGATCTACTAAGTTAGAGAACAAACAAAGAGCTTCGAGCAAGATTTCACCTTGTCTGGCAAGGTTGAACTTCTTGCAGTCAATTTTCTTTGAAGTTACAGGGTTTATATACTAAAAAGATATGGATGGTAAACAAGTTTACACGATGGAATCGATACTACACCACTAAGGAAAATAACAAAGCTTTTATAAAGAACTATCGTAAAAAATATCAAATCTGGGTTGATTTTAGCTTTTGGATGCAAATCTAGCAGAGTTTGTATGTTTGTTTATTTGATTGGTTGAGTGTCCTTATCTCTGGGGCCTCTTCTTCCTTTTATAGAAAAATTAGCCCGACTGCTATAACTTTGCTCTTGCTTGAAAGCACTTGGAGAGTAGTGAATCATCATTTTTTTTTACTTGTAATGCCACTAGAAAGTGTTCTTTGGTTGGTAGTAGGTTAGTTTCCATCACTTGTCACCTCAATTATAGACATGTGGCCCGTAGTTTGGCTAAGAAGGCTTCAATTTGACTATGGGCTTGATGCTCGACCTCGGGCAAGTCCCCTTTAATTGGCATCCTTGGGTTTTCCTTTATTTAAGTTCAATGTTCAAATATCAACCCAAACAATGCCCCATTTAATCATTGTTGAGTCTGCGAATTGAGGCGTTAATAATGATTAAATAGTCGTTGCATGCATTTACTCTAGACTTGCACCATTCCAATAGTCGTTTGTTAAACAAAACCTTTGCACTAACCCACATCTTCCAATGTTAATTATCTATGTACTATATAATCCTCACTTAAACCCAACAACCAAGTACCTTAGCAATCTCAAAACTTCAAATTTCCAGAACTTCCCAGATTTCCCAACTTTCCCAGTACTATCTTGTTCTCTGCTCTTTCTTGCTTTCTACCTTCAAATTTCCTCTATCTTTTTCTAAAATCACCCAATGGCACCTAAAGTTACTCAAACTCGATCTTCCTATGAATCTAGTGAAGGCATTGCCACCATGTGTCATCTGCTCAACGGCCTTCATTGCTATCAGGCTGGCCTGCAGACTTCTCTTTTCTTCGAAGAGGGATGAGTACACTCCTTGGGGCCTGCATGGACCTTTCCAATCCTTATTGTAGTGAAAAGCAACATGCCCAAGGAGAATTGGTTCACCCCCAACCTGTTTATGGTCGAGTCGGGTATATCGACCTTTAAGTGGTTAAATCATCGTCCCGGCTTTCCTCTGATGAAGGATGAAGGCTGGGCGTAGTGGATAAATGAGCTTGAGCCTATCTTTAAGCAGAAGTGGATGAACAATGAGATATATAAGCTGATAATGCTCTCTAAGACTACCGTGATCGCTAAGCCTGAGCTGTTCACCTCGGCATTCCTTTTCTTGAACTTAAGCACAAACACCTTTAACTTCAGGATAGGTCCCATGTCCCTCCTCGACATGGCACATGTCTTCAGGCTAAGGCACTCGGGCAGAGTAGTGGATGTCACTCATGATTGGGCTCACTCTTCTCGCTTGACCTCATAAAGCTCAGGCAGCTCTACCCATTTTCTTCAAATAGAGTATAACTCATTAACCTTCAAGAGCTATGAGACTTCATTCATAGGCTTTATCTCGTTTGCTAAGAAGAGTTTTGGCTCAACCTCTTCCACTGCCAACAGAGATTAAGAGCACATGTACTTCTTTTTGTACTGGCTTAACAAGCATGTCTTCCCCAATAAGTCTAAGAGAGTGAAGGTCGAGCAGATCCCATTAGTGGAAGCTCTTCACAACTTTGATGATGTCTTATCTCATCCCTACCATCTTCTATATTAGATCACCAAGGGCGAACCATTTGAAACCAACCTTAACGGACCCATTTGGATGGTTTAGTTGTGGTTGTAGCGGTTATTCCCTGAACTTCGGGCACCAAATCTTGAGTTTCCAAAAGGAGTGACCCATGCTCGAATTCTAGTCGAGGCCTCACCCACCAAACATTCTACGTTTTCCTACCTTTACTTCTTCAGAGTCTTCAGGACTCGGGCAGACTTGGAGTGGGGAGCTTCTGTTCTAAGAAGATATCCTTAGTTCTCTGACCAAGCTTTCCAAGACACTTTCAGGGAAGACGCCATCTCTCTTTGCAAAGAAAAATTCATAAGTTATATCCAGATAAGGGACTTAGCTTGAGGTGTAAAGAGCGATCGTTATGAATGTGGGCTGGAAGTTTACCATCCAAACTTCAGCAGCAGGCAGCTAGGCTTCAGGCAAACTATTCCAGCCCCATTCTTTGATTCCATTCATTGCAGTACCTCCTACCGCCTTTGCTCTCCATAAAAGGTTACATTTCGAGTTGCCCAATGCATCCTTGAAGTCATGAGTAAAGTTGCCCGAAAGCCTATGGCATTGAACTTTGAATGCACCTCATCCTTCTTTTCTTGGTGGGAAGCAAAATGGACCAAGAAGTATGGAGGAGACCTGCATGAAGATCACAATCGCCTCTTAAAGCAACTCTCCATCAAGTCCTATCCTAAGCCTGAAAAGCTTGAAAACTGGGCGGAAATGATTCACCAAAAGAACAAACTCTTTCTGATAGGTATTTTTATTTTTCTTGACTTGTATTTTCTAATAATATTTATGAATCTGCCTTTCTCTGACCCCTTCCTTGCCTTTTTTTGAACTTACAGCCCAAGGCAACACGGAAAAGGTGGATGTCGGGCAAGATAAAGAGGATGCAGACGTCTTCGTCCTTCAAGAAGCTACAACTGATGTGGCTAGGCAAGGTGCTGGGGGAGGCGGAGATGTCTCTGAGTTATTCGGAGACTCTACAGATGAAGCTAAGATTGTAGTGGAGCCTCAGGTAACTCAGATGACTTAGGCAACAGTAGTGGAGACTTCAGAGTCTGAGCCTGAAGAGCAACCTCGAGCAACCCTTATAAAAAGAAAAGGACCAGGGCCCAATCTTCCAAACCCTCTAAGTGTTCTACTTTAATAGTTGAGGCAGGCAGGAAAAACAAAAAGCTTCCAGTAAGTGAATCTTTCTCTTACCCTCTTCTTTTTCTTGTATTTTTATGTTGAGAGCTATCAACATGAATATCTTTTGGGTTTAGGGCCTCAAGCAACCAAAAATCCTACCATCGTTCTAAGGGGGGATCCGCTGGGGGCCGAAATGTATCAACAGGCCAAGGATTTGCAAGACTCTACCTTTAGACAATTGGAGGTATGGCTTGCCTCTCAAGTCATCCCTTTGAAGATTTCTTCCTGTCTTATTATTTACCCCATTGCCCAATTACCAGAAACAAGAGATCGAGGAAGAAAAGATCTCTTCGCCCAAGGTCTCTTCTTCTCCAGCCCGAATGGTACAAGTTTCCCCTTCTTGGGCTCAGTCTTCAAAGTTGTTTGTACCATACTTGACCAATCCCGAAACTACTGAGCACCGGTCAACGTTATACCGTCAAGGACCCAGAAGAGTTTCCCTCCAACCAGGAGGCCAATTATAGCGTGACACATGTTGATATTAGAAGCCAAACATAGCGCGACACGTGTTAACATCATAAGCCAATCACAACATGACACGTGTCAACGTCAGAATGAAACTAGAAACTCTCTTCTATAAATATAGATCATTCTCTCACAATATTTCTGAATGTCATTTGTACTAAATCATTCACTAGTACTCACTAAAGGAGAGCTTGAACCTATGTACTTGTGTAAACCCTTCACAATTAATGAGAACTCCTCTACTCTGTGGACATAGCTAATCTGGGCGAACAACGTACATCTTGTGTTTGCTTCCCTGTCTCTATCCATTTACATACTTATCCATACTAGTGACCGGAGCAATCTAGCGAAGGTTACAAACTTGACACGTTCTGTTGTACGAAAGTCCTCACTGATTTTGTGCATCAACATTTGGCGCTGTCTGTGGGAACTACACTTATTCCCACTCTCTTCAGCTTTGCCAAGCTGGTTTCCACCATTCGTACACTTTCTTTTTACCAGGCATCCCTCTCCAACATTGGGAGCGAAGGAAGCCACAACACACAGAATGACACCCTTCTTGCACCTAATGCGAAGCAATGAAAGAAGGAAGGAAAAAGGGTTTCTCTTCAAGCTAAAGTTGATGAGCTAGAAGCTCAGAACAACAAGATAGCAATGAAGAATGAGGTCCTCCATGAGCAATATGAAAAGCTCTTTGAGATGTTCCACGAAATTAGGCATACTCAAACACGCGAGCTCGTTGCCCCTGTGGACATCAACCATCATTTGGGTGCCCCCCAACACGGAAGGTCACCTCCATTCGACATGGGTATCCCTGATGAAGAACGAGTTAATCATCAAAACATTGATCAACATAAGACTTCTCTTAACCCAGAAGCTTTGACCCGAAGTAGGAGAAGTGGATGAAGACACCTCCTTGTAGAAGGGTTAGAAAGATCGAAAGCTATTTATCGTGACTGCCGAGGCTTCCTAAAGCAACGTCAAGAGAATCCCATCCACATAAGCTCGAAGATCAATGACCCAAGGGTTTCTGAAAGACTCGGTCTCATCCCAGAACCTAGGCCAACTAGCAATCTAGGGAAGGAACGACAGGTCTCAGAGGAACATGAAGGTACAGGGGACTCTGAGGTATTCCGACAGACTTACCTTGGAAGTTAGTACGGCGAGTCCAAGGAAAAACCACACGCCTTTGCTCAAACTTTCCTACTTCTAAGAGGCGATAGAGACTTACGAAAGAAAATTCCAGTGGTACATGACTTCACTCAGGACCTCCTTGTCCTACAGCTCTTTGAGGAAGTAAACAAGTTGAAGGCCGAACATCAGGCCGAGATACTTGTGTGGAACCAACCCAGGCCTGACCCTCTCACAAGAAGGATCCTTGACACCCCTCTTAAAGC